AATGCATTCTTTCATTGTTCTTTCATTGTTAACTTGGCACACACGATTGTGTTTGTGACACCAGTCGAAACGAAACTTTCTTTATTTATTATATTTCATAATACCTACATATAGGTATCAGGTTAAGTACCTATATAATTGTATGTAAGTATTGTTCTACAAATATTTTAAAGCTCATATAAAAACCCAATTAATTTCGAATAGATAAATAAATACTGCGTAACGATGCAGACGACTAACACATTAATTATTGAATACATCGTCAAAGAAATATTTCGAACTTATTTTAAAATCGTATTCCCTTGTTTGTAAACATAGAATTAAAAAATACCTTTAAGACTAATTTATGAGAATTTTACAGGAACTATTAGGCCAGGTTTATCTGTCTGTAACGAGTTTTCTTTTATACTTAAACGTTAATCGTGGTATTATGATTGAATTTGGAGTTTAAACAAAATTTTAAAAATGAGATTACAATATACGCCTGTAGACGGCAGTTTGCATACAATAGCATACATGCGCTACGATGTTTTAGTGAAAGGGGCAAAACATATTTAATTATGAGTAAATTAATACATAAAATATATAATAAAATGAAAAAGCGAAATATATCTACATTTATTAGAAAAAAAACCTTTTTCTAATAGTAATATTTTGGAAAATACATAAATGTGTAGTACAATTATTTTTACCAGTTAGTAAATATACCTAGTGCAAATGTGCAATGTGCAATGATTATTATTTTATGAGAAATACGTTTTCACTGTTTTATTTTAAATTGTCAATGAAGGGAGGGTTAAATTCTCCTTAACCATTCCTCTGGGTGCTAGCCCTGTTAGTTTTTAATTTTTAAAATAGCTTCGATTCTTTATATTTTATTATTTATAATTAAACTCTAATTTAAATTTAAACGTCACTAAGTAACTTAATTTTTTTCTAACGTGTATTAGTAAAATGCTTAATAGGAATATATATTATATAATACATTCTCCTAACCAAAAAATTGTAGATGTACATACGTCCCATTTATTTATAATTTATTATTTGTAATAATTACGACTGCAATGCAGCTTTGTAGCGTAGTACACCCAGATTCCTGAATTAGAAATGCACAACAAAAGGTTATGTACTTATGTTGTCTAGTGGGACATTGTTGAGATTATTTTTTATTTTCCTTGTAGATTTTGAAGTTTTGAACATTGGGAAAATGGACAAATTTATGACAAGCCGGTTTTTATTGTTTTTGATTATTTTAATTATTTGAAGCATTTAAAAATATTGAGATTTTTTTATTTTAATGGTTATTTATTTTTACCAACGTTTTGAGTTCAATTTTATGTTTAAATTTATTAAAATACGAACAATAATTGCGATTTGTTTTTTAATTACAAATTAAATCAATTTTCAATTTTTAATCGATTGAAACATTTAAAACATGTTTAACATGATTTCACTCTAAATCAATTTTCGTTCACAATGATTTATCGCTGCGCACAGTTAAAAATTAAATTACCCTATATATACCAACTACCTTCCGAATTTTCATCTGCAACAGTGGCCTACGGTATGAAGTATGTTACCTTTTGTATTGACTTCTAATGACATTTGTTTATAATCTGTAGATATTTTATAGATAGGTACCTAATCGTGGCATCCAACGAGTGTATTAATACTAAGCTATTAAAAAAGAAGAAATAGGTTATGATTTTGAAATAAACAACTAAACAATGAATTTCAGTCGTTTAAATTTCAAATAATTTATAGTTAAAGAATATATATGAATATAAGATCAAGACAGGTAAAAAAAAAAAGTTGATACTGCTGATGAGTGTGCCACATCTTTTTTGTAGAATGTTGAGAAGGTAAAATAAATACATTTATTTAATTGATATGTAACATAAACCAATACTAATAAAAAAATGATTCTGAGTGAAGTTCGATTATGCATATTTCGAAGTACTGTAATTTTTACGATTTTTGTCAAATTTTATCATAAAACGCTTATAAAAAAATCTACTTATAATAAACGTATTATTACATTTTTAAACATTTCTGTTTTGGCCAAACAATTGTATCTACATTAAACCAAATAAAAACTAAACAAAACTAAAAAATATCAAATCTCTATAAATAGCTCAATAATTTCTAAAATGTATAAAAAAAAATGAATACATTTAAAGAAGGCCAATATAAGTATTTTGTAAAAATAGCAGGTCTCTACGATTATTTTCAACCAACTACGAAAATAAACACAAAATCGAAAATAATGAATTATTAATACTGTACAATTTCCCGTTTTCCTCATTAATTAAAAAAAACTACACAAAAAATTAAAAACAACTTTTTAACTAAAGAAAATATTTTCTTTCAGAAAAAAAATTACACTTGAAATTCGGAATATTTCTGGTAGAAAACCAAATTGAAAAAAATTTAAAATAATAATATCATTAATTTGTCAGTTTTTATTTTCATTTTTCTTGTTTTTCCAAATCATTATGAAAACAGCTTAGAATATCAAAAAGTGACCTTATTAGTATACTAACTAGATATAAAATGCAACAAAAAAGGTTTCTTGTCATTTTTTATTGGAGCGAAATTTCTGATAAAAATTGTTAACAGACAGAAAAAAAATAAAAACGCACCATAGTAAAATCAGTGCCTTCCTCGGTCCACTTAAAATATACTATTATATAATAAAAGATTTTTTTTACACCTTAACGAATAACTATTTGGAATCGCTATATTTTATAGTTTACCTGGTATGCCGTTGTCATGATTACTCTACACTTGTAATATACTTTATGTTGTCGTTCAATAAAATATTTAAATGAGTTAAGTGAATGGAAAGTTTAATTTAAAAAAAAAAAATTATTAAATAATCTATTAATAAACGTAGTTGTATATTGTATATTATATTTATGCCCGGAAAGCGAATTAATGTAAATACCAATAAGGTAGATATTTTTAAATGCTAATTGATATTTTCGGATAAAAATCAAAATTTTCTAATAGAGAAATGTTGAATGCGGAAGAGTAGCTCATTTTTCGGTATACTCGACAGTGTGTATCTGTAGTTCAACGCAAACACAAGCCAAACACTAGCACGCGACTGACTTTAATATCGTTTATTACAATATAGGAGCCCATCTCTCCATTATGCTTCACTGGACCATAAAAGATTTCCCTACTAAAATATACTGACTGTTCTAGTTTAATACATAATTATAATTTATAGTGGCGTTACTCTCTGCAAGAGATAACCGAATTTCGAATAATATTAATAATAAGAAAGATACAAAAATGTATATGAGTAATAATAATTGTTTTTATAATTGTCGAAACCGACGATAATATAATAACATAATATTATTATATTATGTATTTTTAGGACAATACAATAAAAAAATATCACACAGTGGTTGCATGCTACAAAAAAAAAAATGTCCATTGTTTATTTTATTTTCATAATATTTTTCGTAGGTTAAATTCGATAATATATATTATCATGGTATATGTTGCACACAAATTATATACTTACTTAATATAACTACTTATAATGCATAATAGGAAATGCGGCACGTGTCATAATATTATTATGTGCGAATGTAACGATTAAATTCATAATGATAATAATAATTCGCACCTTTGGTACAAGACTGCAACTTAAAATTTAGATTTTAGATTCTGAGTGGAGCGAAGAAGCTTATGATTTTACAAAGATGTTTATTTAATTTTTATTATCTGTGGATAACTTTTCTATCAGAGATCTTGCTCCGATTTTTAAGTGTAGCACCTTTTCTCAAATTAAATTGGTGTAGGGAGGTCATTTTTCGTTTTCTTAAGAGTTTATTCATAAGATGTGGAAAACCGAGAGAAAAAAAAACGGAGGAAAAATTGGAAAATGTAAGAAATGTTGGTATTAGTTAAAAATATTATGGCCTTCATTTTTCTGTAGACAACTTTTCTACCAGCAATTTCGCTCCAATTTATAATGGTAACAATTTTTCTAAAAGGTAAGACTACTAAAACTACTTTATATAAGGTAAGACAAATAAAACTTTTAAAATAAGATATAAAGAATACATTTCTGAAATAAAATTAAAAAAGACTGCCCCTAATTTAAATTTCGCCGAACATGTTTTAGAAAATACCCATAATATAAGTTTTGATATTAATACAGACTCAGAAATATTAAATTCCCAAAATAACATATACTATAATTTAGTTTTAGAAGAATTACACATACACCATGAAATAAATAAAAATAATTTTAATAATATTTTAAATGTTCAAACCAATTTTAAAAATAATATCTTATATCCAATACATTAAAGTTAATAAATATTAACTAGATAATTTATTTTTCTTAAAATATCTTTGTCTAAGAATAACTAATTTAAACTAATTTTTCTTATTAAAATAAATTATTTATATATTCTATGTAAAACGACCAATTTGTATAATTTTTATTTTTTTCTATGTGAAAATATGTTTTTTATATTTCATTTAATTTTTTATATTCAATCACGTTTTACATTTTGACTGTGATATAACTGTTGAATTTTTAATTTTTAAACCGGTCGTATAATACATTTATTATAATACTCCAGGCGACGCATTGATTCATTTATTTATTTTACTTTTATATATACATTTTTTATTTATATAATTTTTTACTTTATTTATTTACAAGTATTAACCATTTTAATAATTTTGTTTTTACTTTATTATTTTATTACTTTATTATAATTTACAAACATAAATAATAAATTAAATACAATTTTAATACGTAATAATAATATTAATAGGTATAATAATCGTCTTAATTTTAGTCTTAAAAGTAATAAAAATGACAATGATAAAATTGACTAAAAAATATTTTATTCTATTCTACTATATAATATCAACAATTAAATTTAAAGATATGCATTTCAAAAAGTTTTCATACTTTTTTTTTTTTGGTGGTTAAATATTTTCGCCGTAAAAGCATAATTGTAGCTATGCTAAAGAAAAGTGGAGCAAATTCCTATGAACAGTTTAGAACACTGAGTATACTAACACAAGTCTCAAAAATCTTAACGAAAATAATAAATCGAAGAATAGAAGAAAAAGTGAAAACAAAGCTAACAGAACTAAATATTGGAATCAAAACTGGCGGAGAAATTATTTCAATGATACGTTTTACAGATGACATTGTGGTAATAGCAAAGAGTGAAGGTGATATACAGCGTGCAGTTGATGAAATTAATGAAATTCTCAGAACATGAAAATGAACAGTGGAAAAAACGATTTTAATTCGTGCTAATGACCCGAAAATAAAAGCTGATGTATACATAGATAGTCAAAAACTAGAGCAAGTAGAAGAAATGGCATACTTAGGAAGCAAAATCATATCTGATGATAAGAGCGTCTGAGAGATAAAACAACGTATAGCATTAGCAAAAACTGGCTTTAGTAAAAATCATAAATTGTTGACTTCAAAAAAGTTATATCTCAATAACAAGAAAAGTCTTATTAAAACACATGTTTGGAATGTTGCAACATATGGATTTGAAACATGGGTAATAAATGATACCGAAAATAAAAAATTAAAAGCCTTTGAAATGTGGTGTTGGAGGCGTATGGAAAGGACAAATTGGCTAGAACGGAAAACAAATGAAGAAATACTTAGAACTGTGGAAGAAGAATGTATACTCATAGATGCGATTAGAGCAAGGCGTTGGAAAATGGACATGCCCTGAGACACCCAAAAGAGTTGCATAATATAATATTATAGACGGTATGATAGAAGGGAAGAAAACTGCAGAACGTGCTCAAAATTCTTATATAGTTATATATATATATATATATATTTGACAAATCAAATGGGATTCAAGAGTCAAAACTTTCAACGAACTCAAAAAAAAGGCCAGCAATCGGTCAGGATGGAGAATTGGAGTTATAAACCAAACTTAGGGTTGATAAAAAAATACAAAAAAATTCTATATTAAATTCTAATCAATTATCATTATTTTTTTTACCACAAAGTACGATTTATTAATGGATCGCTTGTTAAATTTTCAAGAATTTCTGTTTGGTCTAATAGTTTTAGCCACAAAATACCTACCGAATATATAGTAATATAGTAAATATAGTAAAAAACTCGCAAAATTAAAAAAGTTTATATATATATAGTTCAAAAATAGCTAAAATGTTACCACATCTAGAAAAAGCAAATATAAATTTTTTGTCAAAATTTTAAGTCTCTACAAATATTTCAAACTGAGTTACAATAAAAAAAATCTGTTCTAGGATAATAGGGACAGGTGCCACTGTTATAGTTGAGAAGTTGATAAGGTAGGAGAAATTTGAACGTGCATTACCTCAGCTCCCCCCTATTTTTAAAAATACTCAATTTTTTACTATAAATAATTAGTACGTAATTAGTATAAATTTGTATGACAATTTTCTGAATTTGTACGCGACTCATTCAACGAGAAAAATCCATTGTATATGGAGGGGGGGCTAGAGTAAGGTTATTCCAGCCCTTCACTTTTGCCTAAACACGAAATATCCAAAACTTCGTGGACCATAAACTAAGGGGGGGGGGTAATAATCGTGAAACTTGATGTATATCTGTAAGTAACGATTAATGATTGCTAACGAAAAAACGATTCTGAATGTTGCTTATGTTATATTATGGTAAAATACTTGCACATGCATTAAACGTTCTCTTTAATAATATATTTTTTTATATTGTACCTATTTTCCCGTTCTCCCGGTTTTTTCCATTTATTGAGAAAACTCCTAGGAAAATAAAAAAAATGACCTCTCTAAAATACCTCCCCAGTCAGATTTTATTTCATAAAAAGTGCTTCACTTGTGATTCGAAGAAATATTTATTGTAGAATCATGAATATTGAAATTAAAAATAATTCAATGTAAATAAAAATTAATACTTAAATGCTAGTTTTATATTTTTAAGAATAAATAATATGTTTAATGGTACCTATAATAACTAAGATAGTTAGAATTCTACATGAATTACAATTAAATTATACTAAAACTAAGCTTTACAATTCACTTTTTTCGACAAAATTATTTAATATATTAACAAGATTAATATTGTTTGATATGTCTTTTTCTATGTGAATTGATGATAAATTTGAAAACCAAAAAATGAACGTTCACACGATGCTGAGCTTACCGAAAAGTGCTACTTGTGCTACTTGCATAAAGTGTACCTATCACTTTATAGAAATTCTGAATTTATTTAGGTATTGTATGAAAAAATCAAAGCAATTGTCTAGACAAAAAATAATTTTTTTTAAAGAAAAGAGAAAAATAATCTTTAAAATAAGTAATTTTTAAAAAAAGCAGCCACTGTTGTAGGGGAGAATTTGGGAAAGTAGTAGATGGAAAATTTAATTTATATCATCTGTAAGCAACGAAAAACCATTTCTAATGAAAAAACTATTCAGATATTCTGAGCGGAGTTCAGCTAATAGTGATGCTTTGTTAAAGATATATATGTTACCGGCAATGTTCAAAATTCAGGAAATAATGAAAATGTCTAAATACTTTAGGAAATAATATTTTAGTTGACTTTTGACGACATTTCGGTAGTTTATTAGGCAATGTTATCGGGCAATATTTTATAAATACATAGGCAATATATTTCGTACATTTTCCCGTTTTTCCTCCGTTATTACTTGAAATTTGGACTATTTGCCTTTTCTTGACATGGTAAAATCTTTGAGTAATTTAAAGACATTTTAAAGTTGCGAGTTTTGTACGTAATTTTTATTCGGTAGATACTCTGTGGATAAAGTTGTTGACCAAACAGAAATGCTTGAGAATTTAACATGTTCATTAAAAGTCGTACTATGTGGTAAAAAATAATAATTTTGAGCAGTGTCAAACCACTTTTAAATAGGTATTCATCAAAATAAAAACATTAATAGATATAGAAAATATTGTTGATCAAACCGTTTTCAAAACGCTACTTAAAAAAAAAGGATTTTGGATTTGATCATCTAATTTTTATTAATTATTATTCTTTTTATTTTTATTATTCATTTTATTTTTATTTTTATTATTCATTTTATTTTTATTTTTATTATTATTTATTTAATGTGTAAAAAATAAATTTAACTTTTAAATTGTATTTTTTTATTACATTTATATAATATGTATGCAGTCTTCTAAGCTAATATAAGTTGAAATGACATCAGACATAAAAGTTTTAAGTTTTTGTTAACCAAAGCTGTGGTATTCAAGAGTAATTTTACTCTTGAATACTTAACAATTTTGTTCAATCTTCCTTTTTCATAGAATTGACCCGAAGACGCCCTTGAACAATACTCTTAACTGAGCTCCACTCAGAATCGTTTTTGTTGGAAATGCTTAAATTTGCTTAGGCACAGATATACATTAAATTTCCTTCAATATTCTAATTTTCCAAATTTTTATCTATAACAGTGGTCCACCCTTCGTGAAAAGTGTATCCGTCTTTTTTTCTTATTAATCATTCCCCGTCATCACCCCCCTGTCTATACCTATCTAACATTGCTATATAACTGTATTATATAACATGTTATACAAATTTTATAAAAATGTTATGTAGCATGTGTTATATAATCGTGTTGTATCACAAAATTTGTTTTCCATCGACGATGGAAAATATATCAAAAAATTTAAATAACAAGTAACATTTAATTCATTTCAAGCGTATATACAAGGAGACTAAAGAATTTAGTTTACTTTTATATATTCTTTTAAACCTTCTACTAATGCATCGCATAATTCTGGTACTATATTAGAAATTGCTTGTTTAGACACTTTAAATAGATACATAAGACTATGAAAAGAGCCACCGCGGTAGCTAAAAGTCTTGGAATTGTTCTTTCACTGGTATTGAATATTTAAAGTTGTATATTGTTTAAATACTTTATGACCAACCAAATTAATTAAAAAATTAAAAATGTTCACTTGACATCCGCAAAAAAAATTACTTTAAGTAGATGCACTGCAATAGATAAAACCAAACTTATTTGGTTATCAAATATTGAGTGTTGTGTGGTGTGAGTAATTTTACAACACTGTATATTTTAGCGATTGTATTGTAGAACATCCGTATTTATTTTACCGGATTTATTGTTTTTTCACACAGAATGCAAGGCTTGCACCGTCATAGGCGTAACTAGAGCTTATACATTTTGGGGGGCTAAAAGTACTGGGACAACACAGACCCGCAGGAGTAGCCCATATTGATAATATGGGCTACGCCATCTATTAATTTGCATACAAATAAAATCTGTCAATATTTACTACTATAGGTTCAGTTAAAATTTTAGCAAGGTTAGACCTCATCATTCCCCCCCCCCCCCCCCCAAAAAAAAAAAAAAAAACAAATCCACAATAATTCACATTAATAATATATATATATATATATATATATATATACAAATTCACCTTTATAATTTAAATTTTCCGTTTTTATACAGTATCAGTAGCGTAACAAGAATTTATTAATGGAGGGGGAGAGGGCAATAAAAAAACCTTGAACAAAATTAATTTGTATTGTTTTCACTTATTTTTTATACTTATTATATGACCAGATAAAATGCTAAATACATCCTGCCTAATTGAATAAAATATTCAACAACTTTTCATTTATAATAATTTATTGCAAATAACTTAAATTACTATAAAGTAAATATTCTTAATGAGTTGCTTATTTCTTATGGTTTATAATATAATATTATTATTGTGTCCAATTTGTAACTTTCATCCTCCAAAAGGATTTTTTAATAAAAAGATTCAATACTTCTTTTTTGATGTTTTCATATTCTAATTCGTCTTTATTTATTATTGCTAATGCCAAACCATTCTACCTTTCTTCATTCATTTTAACTCGTAAGTATGTTTTCAGTTGTTGTTCTAGAGTAGCAATTATATAAATGTAAAGTTCTTTGAAAGTAATAAGTGAATTATGTCGATCGACCCATCGTGTTTCATAAAGTTTTTTCAATTTTGTTTTTTTTATCACTTTTATTGGAATTACTATTTTTATCACAATCACTACTTTCGTGTAATTTGGATATAATATTATATTAATTACATATTATATATTCATATTATCATAGGTACTTAGGTACGAACTCATAGATATAATATTATATACTTATCTATGGATGGACTGATATAATATCAATAAAAAAATAATAAATACCTACGTCTGATGGGCAGGGCCATGACCCCTCTGCCCCCCCTGGCTAAGCCACTGTGCAGTACACTACTAACATATTTCCATTACCTATTTAACGAGTTGACAACATCTATATAGATATTGTAAATAGCCAAATTTGTAAAACGAACTTATAAAGGCTTCTGATAAAAGCAATATAATACGGTCAAAATAGATTTTGTCATAAATATAGATAATATCGTGATGTAAATGATATAATAAATTAAGTTGTAACGTGGTCAAAGGACAAAAGTTTTGTTATTTATCATCTTATTGTCAACCACGGCTTTAGATAGTACTACTTGTCTAAAGCCGTAATATCAACAATATCATGACGGACGTCGAACATAAATTTTATAGAAAATAAGCTTGAGACGCTTGGGTTATTTAGACCATAGATTATAAAAATTCGGTCGAAAATAAAAAATCATGTGGAAAAACCATTGTTACAATACATTGTCTATAGTTACACTGAATAATAATAATATTACTATTTATTTCTTATATTAAGATTAAAGATATAGATTATAGATGATTAGATTTTCTCAACAAATTCTGTGATTCATTATTTTCATTTAGGGTGCTGTGAAAATATTTAGGAGGGCTAAGCCCCCTCCCTGTGCCTATGCACACTGCATTGCCCGGACTCAATTAGGACGTAGCGTAAGTATACCTATTACTTATCTATAATAGTTTAATAACTATTAGTATATAAGTTTAATAATACTATTACAAAAATGCTCACATTAATTCCCATGTATTATAATTAATTGCATATAACATATAACTCCCGAGCGATTTCTTAGGGTGTAAATTAATGGATATTTTTAAACAGATTAATCAGGGCGTAAAAAAAAATATGTACAGGCATCTGAAATTAGTTGATAGTGCAGTAAGTGCCTACCTAATTATTGCAATGAAACGACCTCGGTTCAAAATATATGGTACATAGGATGAATCCTATTCGAGATTGAACAGCAGCTATATAATAATGATTATCTACTGCCGTGTGCACCTATAAGCTGCGTTTACATTGGTAGAGTATTTGGCATAGTACATTAGCCTACTATTTGTCCTACTCGTTTGAGTAGAGTAACAGTTTACATGAAGCTAGTGATTTGGTAGAATAATTCAGTACAGTTGATGTATAAACTTGCACCGCCACCAATGTATAATCACCATAAAATCATAATACCTAATCATCGCAAGTTTTTACTTTTATATGATTTTTTATTCTTTATTTAATAATAATATGGATATCGCACGTTATTGTCATTGTCAAAAATTATTAAATAAGTGTCTTGGAGTGGTTACAAGTGCATTAATAAACGATATTTTAGAATTTGTTGATGATAATAATGAAAAAAAAAAGACTTTTGGTTCGAGAGTGGTTAAAAAGAACTGTACTTGGAGCATCAGTAAATCTTCTTACAGATTTAGCTTTAGAGGATTCACAGGAATACAGACTGTGTTTAAGAATGACACCTAGAAATTTTGAATAGCTGTTGAGTTTGGTAGCATCGGCTATTCAAAAACAAGACGGAGTAGAATTAAAACGGTAGAAAGGGTAAAAGGAAGTAGAGTGTACTTCACCACAATGGTTATCTACTCTACTCTACCGATTATTTTTTTGAATAAACTACCAGCACTATCTATGAGTGTTTTATATTAAGCTAGTAACAGTCATGTACTAACTCTACCCTGATACTCTACCAAATACTCTTCCAATGTAATGTAACGGTTATACGTATTAATGTATTATATCAATCCCCGAGATAGCTGACCTTTTTTTCGTCTAATTAACACTACGTCAATAAATTATATAGGTAGGTACATAATGTATAGTTCTATAGGTAGTACGTAGATATAGAAGCTAGAGGTTTCGTTTTAATTTTCTTTTCGGGTGTGTGAGGTTTCAAGCAGGCCATTTTGAAATTTTGCAAGGCCATTATATAATAATAGTTATATTTATGTACATTATTCAGTTTTTAATTTTTCCCATTGACCACGGACAGTATCAACATAAATAGAAAAAAACATTAAAAAAATCGGGAAAAAACTTGAGAAAACCAAGAAAAACATAGGAAAAACGGGGAAATTGGTACAATATTAAACAAATATTATTAAAGAAAATATATAAAACCTATTTAATTATTTAATCTTAATATGACATATATATTATTGACAAAGTAACACTATCAATCCAACTCCACTTAGAATCGTGTTTTCGTTAGGAATGATTAATCATTGCGTACATCTATATCCTTACTTCTCAACTTCCCGCATACAACAGTGGCTGCACAGTGCACCTTTCCCTATTATTTTATAGGACAGGTTTTCACTAACACCTACATTTCGTATATTTTCCTGTTTTCTCTCAATTTTATCCTATTCCTAACCTAACCTAATCTATTCCTTTATATTTATTGGGAAAACTCCTAAGATAATCAAAAAATGATTTTTTTAAAGTACCTCCTTAGTCAGATTTCCTTTTTAATAAAGTGATATCATCGGAGCAAAATTGCTGGTAGAAAAGTTGTTCACCGGCAAAAAATAAAAAAATCTGTCCTAGGATAATGGGGGTGCAACCACTGTTGTAGAATGAAGGTGGGCAGTTGAGAAGGTAGGGTATAGACGGGAATTTAATGTATATCTGTATACAACGATTAACCATTTCTATCGAGAAAACGATTTTGAGCGGAGTTCAGTTAATAGTGTTGCTTTGTCAACAACTTATATGTAATGTTATGGTTAAATAATTACATAGGTAGGTATTATTAATATTGTATCTATTTTACCGTTTTTCCTTCGTTTTTTCCATTTATTGGGAAACCTCCTGGGAAAATCAAAAAATGACCTACTAGAGTATCCTCCCAGTCAGATTTCCTTTTAGAAAAAGTGCCATCATTGTAAATCGGTGCAAAATATTGCGGGTAGACAAATTATTGTTCATAAAAAAAAATATAAACATCATTGTAAAACCAATACATATTTCGCTCCACTCAGAATCTAAAAGTCTTATTGTTACCTGTGTTAATTTCTATTGAATAAATAATTGATCTGATTTAAATGATCCATCCAAACGAACCTCAGTCGTTCTTATGTTTTTCTCAAAACGAGAGTATCATATATTATATAAATTGGCTGGTAATTATTTCTTCTAATGTTGGCAACTCCACCTTCTACTCGGATTGCTGATAAAAATTGTTATGGAACTTCTTTCTGGTACTAATTTAATCATAAACCAAACAACATTTTCTTATCAACTTTTTTATCTTTAATATATTACACATTTGTATGCATTATTATTTAAATTTAAATTTTTTTAAATGATTATTATAATAATAATAGGTAAAATAATATAGAAACCAAAAGAAATACTTTTCTGAACTCAATTATTTTATTGTGTTTGTGTACTTCTGTGTTATCTAGACTACAAAAGTATTTCTTAGACGCGTATTAGTAATTGGTTGAACTAGCAAAATACTCCATTAGTGTTCATTATGGCTGTAGAAGTAAGATTCAAAACATTATATATTTTTCTAATACTTGCAGTGGTTTTATTGAGATTATACATATAATATCAGTCTCGCTCATAATATTCTGTGTGTACAAATAAAGCAGTTCATTACAAATTTTGTAATTTATCATTACTTAAGTGTTGATACATCTTTATTGGGTTATGATATAAAATGTTTAGTTATCTACAATTACCTTAAGTAAATGACCAATTAATAATTTCTACATTGATTTGTTTTATTTGAAATACTGATTAATGTGTAAATAAAGTATATGAGTTATTACATGATACTTACCCAGGTCAAAATTATACTACATAAAATATACATGTTTAATTAAATTGATCTATATGAACATAAATTATTTGTATTTGGTTATAATTATATTGTATTTATTATTCAATAAATGACTATGCATTTTAAAACTTATTTAGATTTATCAATTTATTAATGTATACATATTTACCTAATTGAAATCTTTTAGGATCAAAACTTTGCTATACAAAGAGAGTTTGCGAGTTATATTCATCCATTGAAATCCATTACCGATGATGCAGAAGAGAAAGCATGTTGGATAGATCAGATGAAGTATTTGGTTAAAGACTTTAAAGTTCTTCTCAAACTTCCATTCAAAAAGTATATAATATACACATTAAATTTATATGGTACTTATCGATTAGATTCTTTTTTTTTTTTTGCTGTGCTCACTCTGATAACTTTAATGGAAAATAACTCTTAATTTTTTGTGCAAAACCACAAAACAGTTATTTGGTTAAGTAGTTACGATAACCGATAAGTACCGTTTTTATTTAACAATAAATAAAAGTATAAAATATGTATGATTTTAATACTTTAGATTTTGGTCTACAATTGTTTTTAACAAAGAAGCTACTATGGGATTGAATTCATTTCTACAAGAAGCTGCTCCTCCTCATTTAATGGATCAACTTCCACAAGATGATGATATATTGGAAATTTATAGCACAGTTGATTACTACGCATTTCTGGTGTTTAAACGATTGACTAAACATGCTGAAAATTTGGTATTTATGCGTAAATATTTTATACTTATACACTTTTATATTAATTTGTTTATATATTATATTTTTACTAGAATAATCAAATGTCATCATATTATATGTGGAACTTGGTATGTGATAAAAATATTATAGACATTTCTATGTTATTTGATATCTGTTCAATTTATGGCCAAACGAAAAAAAAAGAATTGGAAAAAATATTTCTTGAATTGTTTTCAAGTCATCCATTATACACTGAACATTTAAAAACTTCAATTCAAATTACAATTAATGTTAGTTACATAAAAACTATTACAATATTTAATTTGTTTATTTGTTAATTATAAATTCCACTTGTTAGTGTTTATGCCAATTTCAAGAAAAAGTTCAACATGACCTTGGCTTCAAGCATGAAGATGACACACCTCGTAAAATTGTTACTTCTGCTGAAATTAATAAAGACATTCTTCCTGTTATTGAAGATATTATACTTTTTCTATTAGACACAGCATGTAGTATTTCAAATTTCTTGGAAATTTACCCAAAGGCTGCTATTATTTTCTATCAAGAACAACTACATATGCAGTATGTATAATAATTACATAATTTAATTTAAAACATATTTTTTTCTCTATATGGTTTGTTATTTTTTTTTCATACAATTTTATTCAGAATTGCTGCATTTTATCATAATATTAATCCTTTAATTTATGAAAAATTGAATGGTCTGAACAAAGTGGACCAATTCCAAGAAAAGTTACAAGCCTCAAGGATATTGCTTATGAAGATTGTCCAACAATGTTTAAGTTATCTAAATAATGATGTTATGACCAAGAAGTAAACATTTGTATTTATTTTTGTGACAAAAATGTATATATATTTATATTTTATTTAAAGGAAAGCAGTGAATCCAATAGAAGAGTATTTGGGAGTTTTAACTGAACTATTGAATTTTAGTGAATTTATTGCTGACTATAATGTTCTACATAACTTAACTAAGGATATAAAGAGATGTCAAAAAATCCACAAACAAGTGTAAGATTTATTAAAACAGTTACTTAAAAATATCTAATGAAACAAATCATATTTAGAGACTCAGCAAGATATGATTACTTATTAAAGTCTATAGAACTAATGTCTATCGCAAATAGAGAATTTGAACAAGTGGAATTAGAAAGCGAACAATTAGAGGTAATCATTAAAAAAAAAAAAATTTTTTTTACAATAATAATAATTCTAAACTAATAATTTTAGTTACAAACCAGTAGTAAAAATTTAGAAAATGCAACATTGCAGTCTCGTATAACTGAAATCAAAGAATTATTGCCTCAGTTAGGTGATGGATTTATCCAAGTTAGTTAATTTCTTTTGAATATTTTTTTATTTTTGTTCTGTTTAATTTTTTTGGTTTTGTTATATAGAAATGTTTAGAATATTATAATATGGATTCTGAAAAAGTTATAAATATGATTTTGGAAAAAAGTTTTCCACCAGAACTTACTCAGTATGATTTTGATCTCTCTTCACAATCCCTACATAATGTAAATGTATGTTATGAGGAAAATGCATCTGGTTATGATCCTTCATATAAAGGGTATTTATATTATTTTAAGATGAGTAAAATTAATTAATTAAATATATTATTTGATTTTTTAGTTCTAAGAAACTTAAAAAATTAAAAGCAGTTTTAGATGATAAATCATTCCGTAATGAAATGCGATCGTTTTACGAAAAGTATAATTATACCGAAGTTAGTTGTGTTGAATTAGAAACATATTATGAGGATGAATATGATGACACTTATGATAATGTTATTGAGTATAAGTTACCAGAACAATTAGACGAAAACCAGAAGAGAAGACCCGATGTTGTACCAAGAGTTTTGATGGAAAAAAAAACAGTAGAAGAAGAGGTTTCTGATGATGAACCACAATCACAACCAGTTATAAATTTTACACCATTCTGTGAAAATCCTGAAGTTATTCGAGAACGGCAAGCTAGAAAATATGCTGCAAAACAATTTAATAGAGGCAATCGAAATAGTAAGTATATTCATAGTAATTAATCATAAAACAAAATTGTTCAACATTCATACATGATTATGTTAGATCAACCCAAAGCATCCACTTCATCTAATGCATCTGAACCAAATAAATTGGAAAAACAACGAAAAAATGAGAATAAAAAGTTTCATGGGAATCATAACAGAAAAAATGCAAGTAAACAACAAAGAGGAATGTTTTGATTAAAAATAGTAACTTAGAGTAAAATTTGATGTGTTTGTATTTTATATTGAATTTATTTATTGGTTCATTAATCATAAGCGAATAAAACATTTTCAAGTACCTACATTTAGTTAAGATTTAGCAACTAAAATATTGGACTATCTTAATTAAATTTCAAATGTGTTAATATTTCATCCATAATTTAGTCAGATAATAGTTCAGTAACTGAATCAATAATTATTAATATATAGTATTTAGTTGGTTTTAATTTAGTAGCCCTGTATTAGTCTGAAGACTAAACACAATTTTGAAGAAAAACCTAGTAGGGTAGATAAATAAGAAAAAATCCTTAGGTAGGGGCAAAGAAAATCCTTCAAAGCTAATAAAAGCTCAAGCAGAACCTAATCAATCCAACTAACTTAGTTTTAAAAATAGTACTCCTGTAAGTACAACACAATGACCTATACAATCAGCTGATCTATATTAATTTAATAAAATAACATAGTTTAATAGGTATTACACTATTTCTATATATTTGTGCATATTATTGATGTATGTATTCCAAAAAAAAAAAATCCAACTTTGAATTTTTTTAAGATTAGTAACAAAAATGGTGTAGCTTGAGACTTATTTTCTTTTTGAATCCATGAATAAATAATAACCCCCAGCAATTTGTAAAATGTGTTTGTATGTGTATGGTTTAACCAGTAAACTCTGAACAATTACAGTGAACATTGTATTATTTATAATACATTAATGCATAGTATTATAAATAGTAAAAAAAAAAAAATATTAAATTTTTAACATAGTATTATTTATTATTAATTATTAATATTTTTATTACTTGTCAATAATCAATATTATAATTATTAAATTAGTGTGTCAAATATAAATAAAACATCCACTCCCATATATTTAACAATCTCATAAATAATTGTCTCTGAAAAAAGTGTTTTGTCATGAGCTTCTGTTTGTATTATAGATTTATAAATTATAAGTGTCAATACTAGTTTGATTTATATCATGATTATATTTACTATGCAAGTATGCAAAGAAAATGATAAGGTTTTTTTTGCAAATAATCGATATTACAATTAATTATTAAATATACTTAACAAATAGAATTATAGCAAGTTAAGTCAATATAAATATTAATATTGAAACATCCATATTAAATTAATTGATTATACTAATAGTATTAATTTTTTTTCATAGTGCCTATTTTTAAATGTAATCAGTTTAATGGTGGTTTTATATACAGCACCTTGTTCAGGAATTTGAGGATTTTACTCTTATTTGCATAGGAATCTTAGTATATTTTCTATATATTAGTAGAAATTGTATATTGTATTCAACCCTGTTTAAGAATAGGCCCATGGTCTGAAAATGTTTGATTGGTGACTTAAAATAAAAAATTAATTTAATTGTACAATTAATTATAGTTTAATTATTAGTTGGTAGTTATTAAAAAAAAAATTATGTTATCAATATTATATGTATTTTATACAATATTTAGAAACTTTTTTTTTTATTCAATTATTAAAGAATTATTAAATTCATAGAGCTAAAAGTTAATAAACTTGTAATTTTAGATTCTGAGCAAACCAAATAATGTATTGGTTTGATAATGATGTTTTTTTTTTTATACTATATACAAAGTTTTATCAAGTTAGTACTTAAAAGGTAATTTTTGATTTTCCAAGTGGTTTTCATAATAATTGTAAAAAGCCCGAAAGTTTAATATAATAATAATTTATTATTTTCAATTTTTTTTTTTTTTTGTTGTAATTCAGTTAAAAATGTTCATAGAAACAAGAAATTTGGACTAATTTTGAATTGTCATTTAATAATATTATTGTTAATTTTAAAACTTTTTTAATCATTAGCCTATCATAATTATTATTTTTAATAAAATAAAATAGGTACTGTCTATTAAGTTATCCTATAGTGTCTTCACTAAGTATACAATGGCCAACCTGCTGGAAGTGATTTTTATATGTATAAGACCAAATTAAATCAAGTTAATCAAATTATCAAATATTCAGTTTTACTTATTTAAAACTATGCAAGCGCAGCCAAACTATAAAAAAAAGAGGTGGTACTGCTGATGAGTTTGTCACTTTTTAAGATAGAAAGCTGTGGAAGTACGATGTATAAAGTTATTTAATTGAAATCTGTTACCAATGATAATCTCAAGTTTGGTTATACATGTTTTATAAAGCCCTAATTTTTATGTTTTATCTTAAACAGCATCTAAAAAATACAAAATCTGCAAAATGTTTTGAAAATTTTACCACGTTTAGGGAAGCTTAATTGAATTATTTTGTAAATATATCAAGACTCAAAAATACTTTTTTACCAATTTAAATCAAAACTTAAAATGAAACTGTTGATGCTATATTAAACTTTCCTAGGTCTTTTCTAATAATTATGAAAATGGAGTTGACTTACTCAAAACCTAGATCCAAAATGCAACAAAAAAGTAAACATATATAAATGACCTTTCTAATGTACTAAAAGAAAACCTGTACATCATTTTATATCGCTGTAAATTTGTGCTATGAATTTTTTAGTTACCTTTTACAGAGAAATACATTACATACAAGAAATACATTTTTATTTTATTTATATATATATATTTAGAATATTAGTATCCAATTTAGATTTTGAACATAATCACTGGGTAATAAATTAATAAAAATAAAATTGCTACATAGATAACATTTAACCAATGAAATCTATGAGAATTACTAAAATAATATTGTAAAAAAAGCTGTTGAAAATCTCACATTTGATAATGGTTGTCTATTAGGAATCTATAATTTGTGGGCAAGTCCAATTGATTGAACTGAATAGATGAATCACCAATGGTGCTAGTTATAGCAGTGTTGGGAAAGTGCCTTTTAAAAAAGAATTAGCTCCTCTTTCATAAAATGAACTCGTTTCTCAGTCATTTTTTTTTTATGAATACAGATATTATATATTAATAAAAAAAAAAGACATTGTTGTAGATGTAAAATTGGGAAATTAGAATAACTAAAATTGGAAACTATTATTACTTTTTAGAATCTACACGTTTAAAATCCCAATAAATTTAATAACATTAATTTCTTGGTTCCTATCCTAAAAAATGAAAAACAAAAAAACATAATACTTTAAAAAAAATGTATTATAAATTTACTCGTAATTCATAATACAATACTTCATTAATTATAAAAAAAAATTATTACACGGATATTTTGTTTTCTTTAAAGACTAATTTTTCAAATAAAGCATCACTTAACTCGTGTCTTTTTATACAGTCATGACATGAAATCATGAAGTATGATACCAACACTAAACAATTTCTGAACAATATCACTAAAATACTGTTTCATTTTTTGTTTTTTTAATAGAAGGAATTGAAAATTGCGTTCATGTTCCACATAAATAAGGACTCTTTCAGGTTTCTCACCCCTATATTTAAAAAGGAACGCATTAATTCCCAATATCGAGTAATAGAGAAAATAATATTGGTTATTGGTTATAATGGCTATAGCACCATCACATGTTCCAAAGAGAAAATAATATTACCTCAATTGAGTATGAACAATTCTATTTTAATTGACTAATCTGAATGATTAAATATTATTCATAATTAGTGATTATCAGTATAAAAAAAAAATCAATTTTAAATCTCTTGCCACAGTTGACAATTATTTCATACTTTCTATTATACAATTTTAAGTTGTAATGTTGGCACACAATAGGAGATGGAAAATAATATACTTTCAAAAAAATATTAATAATAAAAATACTGACATTGCATGCGGATGGGCCATTGTAGATGAGAAGTTGAGAAGGGAAAATTGAATGTATATCTGTATAGAACAATTAACCAGTGCTAATGAAAAATGATTCTGCGCGGAGTTCAGTTATACATGTTGTAAAAGGCTATGATATTTACGATTTTAAAATAATACATTTTCCATTTTCTTCTAATTTATTATGAAAATGGTAGGGAAAATAAAACAAAAATAACATCTTTAAAGTACCACCCCAGTCAGATTTCCTTTTAGAAAAAGTGTTTAACTTGGAAATCGGAGTAATATTTCTGGTAAAAGTTTTTACAGATAAAAATTAAAAATTAAATATTGCAAAACAATATATTCCTCACATAACTCAGAATCTAAAATACTACACTTGCATTAAATTTAAACATTAATTTTGAACTAACAGTTAGTACAAAATTAACTTTGAGATTGTAAGTGGAGCAAGAAATCTATTTTTTTTTACAATGATGTTTATTTTTTTTTCTTAGACAACTTTTCTACCAGCAATTATGAACTTATTTTGCAATGATAGCACTTTTTTTAAAAGGAAATCTGACTGAGGAGGTACTTTAGGAAGTTTATTTTTTATTTTCTTGGGAGTTTTTCCAATAAATGGGAGAAATGGGTAAATAGGTATAATATTAGACAAATATTATTAGAAACAATATTTTAACCTATATTTAACCATAATATATATATATATATTGTTGACAAAGCAACACTATCAACTGAACTCTGCTCAGAATCATTTTTTTGTTAGCAATGGTTAATCAGTGTACAGAAATACATTAAATTGTTGCTGCATCCATCCCCATTATTCTAGAATAGCTTAAAATGATTTTTCATATTATCATAATTATGCTGATAATAAAGTGAAAATCCATTATTATTAGTTATTAGTTGTATGTTAAACTTGTGATAATATTATCTTATCATTGACAACATTCAGTCAATTAGAATTTTCCATGATTATCATCAATGATATTCAAAAATAAGTATTTGTACTCATTTTTGAAGATTTATATAAATTGAATTATTACATCTCACCAATGAGTGAGATAAAGCTTTTGATGTCATGTTACTTTTTCAGAACAATGCATCAGGTATATAATTATTTAAATAAAAATGACAATTGTATTATATATCCTTTCTAAAGAATTTCATGATCAATTCAGTATACATGATTGATGTTTATTTGTTAATTTGTGTGATATACATACTACAGTAAAGCTTTTGGTATAATAAACCTATAATGTAACAGATTATGTTAATGAAAAAATGAAATGATGTAAAAAAAAATTACTAATTAAAAATTTATCTATTGTTAACATTTTTAAACCAAGAAGAAGACATCCATCACAAATAAGCTAAATTAAAAGTAGAAAATTATAATTTTTGTTTAAAAGTCTGATTATATTAGGTTTTCAAGTGGTGGATTAATCACAATCCATCTTATCAACAAATCCATCAATTATCGACTGGTCAAAATCTGCATTGCTAATATCATCTTTTGTCAAAGTATTGTTGATATCATCTTTCATTGAAGTATTTGCTTGAGCTTTAAAAGAATCAAAATATGAATTACACATACAAATTAATGTAATAAATTTAAAATAACTTACAAATATTAGGAATCAAATCATCATTACTATGACCTTTCACTTTTTGACTTTCTTCGAAGAATTGGTTTGGGTGATTAATAGCCGTTGCAGAAGGTAATGCACCATGTTTTGCTTCAAAATACTTCGTGCAAGCAATTTGATAATGTCCATTTTGAGAAAGATTTAGAATATCTTGTATACCTAGATAAAATATAATAATTTAGTTTTAAAATTATTTAATCATTTATTTATATAAACAACTAATAATATTTATTACATTGAGCTGAAATATTAGAAAACTCCAGTAATTGTTTTAATGCTTGACTACTAGTATGTTTATAAGGACAACCATGATATTCATCAAAACCTACAGCACCCATAATAATTTTCATACAGCTGTATGGTGTATAGTTTGTTTTTCTTCCTTCTTTACCATAATTATGTCTAATATTGTAACTATATTGTTTATCAAACTAAAAAAAAAAAAGAAAAACATATTTATTATAACTAAATACACAAATATAGGTTAGGGAAATGTATGAATTATAATATTATTTAAAAGGAAAAAATGACTAACTAAATTTTTTTTGTTATGTCATATGAATTTGAATAAATAAATTAATGTGGATTATTTTAGTACATATTATTTTCTTAAATTGAACTAATAGTAATAAATTGTTAATATAATCTAAATTCTTTTGATAGTTTGAACAAACAATTTGAAGCAAAATAAAAATTTAACAACATTTTTAATTAAATTATTTATTTAATTTATAATTTGAATATGATTTCTTTATAAATAATTTATAATTTACATAAAATAAAAACTGTATAAATAAACTATTGTGTGTTAAATATTCACACATTTATGGTGAAATAGTGGCAGTCACTTTATATGGAAAGACACATTACCTTAGCAAAGTACACTTTGCTGATATGTTACATTGGCCATAGCATTATATACATTTATTATATGAACTGCTAAAAAAATAAAACGAATATTCACCTTATCTACATCAATTTTTTTTGTAAATTCTGATCTCCAAAATGTTAAAGCTTGTTCTAATGACAGACCAGCACCTTTCAAAAATAAACCATACTGTTGACGAGCTTGATGTTTTAAATGATGTTCACTTCTTAAAACTACATGTAAACGTTTCATACATAGTGGAAAAGAATCTTTTGATGCCTAAATAAAAATAAAAGCAAAACAGTTTTTACTCAAATATACTTAACACTTCGAACATTCTCTTCACTTAAATTATAAACCAAAATCATTCAGCTGCTTTGAAAATGGTATAACTTTTATGAATCAAAATTTGAAATTAGAACACATCAAAAATTATTATACTGTGCTTAACTTTTTTTTTTGTTGACCACTAAGACAATTTTATTGAAGTCCATTGACTTTGTGTTAAATTTCCAAGCATTTCTGCTCATAAAAAACATTTTATTCACAAAAAAAGCTAAATAAAACTAAAACATTTTAAATCACTATAAATAAATCAAATATTGCCAGAATATTATTATTTTTTCACATCCTAAAAAGAGTAATATAAGTATTATGTGAATTTTAGGTCTACACATTTTTTTAACCTAATTAGAACAAAAAAAAAAAAAAAAAAATTAAAAAAATAAAATGGAAAATAATAGAAACAGTTATTAACCTTTTTCAGTTTCTCCAAATTATTTTATTATCCATAATATTTTTCCAAATATGACACATATTTATATAATATTCAGCTGACAAAATTTAATATAAACTTACATGATCAATATTATTTATAGATAATGTGGACATATTTTCTGAAACTGAGTAATTTTTTCCAATATATGACTGATGTAAATATTTGATAAAAGCTCCAAATCTTTCATCATCACATATTAAATTGAATTTTTGAAAACATTTCTAAAAACAAATATTTATATCATTGCACTGTTATAATAATTTTGAAATAAATAGTATATACTAAATACAAACATAATTTAAACACAAATATGGTTGTTAAGTTATAACTAAGTTGCTTATATTAATATTTACATGCAAATTAAAAAATTTAACTGACCATTAATTCTTGAGAAAGTTCTGACCTAAATGTTTGACAAATACCAGAAATAACATCAGTTTGTAAGACATAAGCAAATCCATCACAAAGGAATACTTTTCTATTACGAACTAAATCCAAAACTTGCATCCAACGAACTTTAAAATAATCACTATTATTTTCAGTTGTAGTAAATGAATTCATATTTTCAGTCATAAATTTATGTTCTTCTTCATTAACCTATATGGATATTAAGATGGTCCTTATTTTGCTAATTTCCAATTTCCTTAGGGACACCATCTTGTGCCATATAATAATAATTAATACTTAGGTGCATGACGTTTTTATATATAATATCAAAAATATTGCATGAAATCAATGAAAATAGAGTACAAAGGAATAAAAAATAGAATTTAAATTTTATTTAGAATTGATTTTTCAAAAAAAAAAAAAAACACAAAGGATCTATTTTAATCCTAAGAACTTAATATCTTTTTTGATACTTTACATGGGAATATGTTTTTTGAAGAAAAGATATTGCTTATTATTACATCTAAGCTATTTATATTTGAGAGACATATACATTAAGTTTTACAAGAATTTCTGGAGGCCAAAAATAAATTCCAATTGTCAAGTTTTTTGTGTGATGAAGATCTGAGTTATTATGAGTTGCAACTCAACTATACTTTATTATAATATTATTAGCTTAACTATTTTAATATAGAAATAGTTGGTTAATTTAATAAAGAAATGATAGTTTCAGTTGATTGTATAATTGAACAATCTAAATCCCAATGTATGTTATATCAAAAAAAACATTAATATCTCAGGATTAAAATAGATTCTTTGTTTTTTTTTATTAAAACAAAACTCATTCTAACAAATCTAGTAGTGGTTAAATGATTTTATCATGGAGAGGAGGGATAAGAACAATTTGATCATTTTTAAGACAAGTTATTGTTTATATCATTTTTTTTTTTTATAACTATGAAGATGTAATATAATATACAATGCTATTTAAACATGATCACTCTTTTTTTATATTTATATCATGCATAAATTCAAATTCTGATTTTTGGAATTATTAAGTGCATTGAAGACAATATTTTTGTATACTTTTTACAACATTTAAAGAGTATCATCCCGTGACAACAATAATTTTGGTTTTTTAAATGAGAACTAACATGTTTTGATTAAAATTATTAATATGATGATTTTTTGAACATTTTGACACTTTGTAAACAAAATTTGAATGAAAAGTTTTTGAGTTATTCTGCTTTAAATACTAAGGATCATAGTATTTTGTAGGGATTGTATATCAACTGATTTAATGTATATTTTTCAGTGATGCTCATATAGGGAATACTACACATATCACAGGTATACTGCATATACTCTAAAAAAGTTTTGATAATCAAAATAGTTAAATAAAAATGTAAAATAAACAAACTTGTCATGTTGTACTATATATTTATCAGTGCCTGTTCATATCATCTTATATCACTTAAACCATAATATTACATACTTTATTTATTTCGATAATTATAACTAAAAATTGGCAATTATTAATTTATTTATTTTTAATTTTTGGTTTTTTTTTTTTTTTTTTAGATATTTTAATTTAATTTTTATAAATTTACATTTATTTCTCTTTAAACAGTACACAATAACAAATATAAAAAACTTGATGTAACACAGAATGTTATAGTATACTTTTAAAAAAATTGATGGGAACAGCACTGATAATTTCTTATATTTAATTGTGCAGTTATTATACTTAGTATTTAAAGTAAATAATTCAGAAACATGTGATTTAAATTTTATATAATTATTTCAATACAGGATTTACCCAATTACAAGTTTTAATACAAACAAAATATTATACATAACATGTAAAAGAACATTTAGTCCAATAGTTGATGGATCATTATTTATTAAACTTTTGATTAAAATATGAGTTAACATTTTGAGAAAGACCATTTGATTAACAATTTGAATTGAAATATGTAGGTTACCATTTGAAAATAAAATTTGATATCAATGTGGGTTATTTTTGAAGTGTTATAAAAAATTTAAGTATTTAAAAATATCATTTTCACTTAAAAATTCCAAACATCAGAATTTGAATTTATGAATAATTTAACAATAAAATTAGGATAAACATTGAGTATGATTAAAAAATTACCCTGTATATTATTATACATTTTTAAAAAAAGTGACTTAAGGGATAAAGATATGTCCCCTTCATTATCCCTCATCCCCATTGACTGCCTCTAAAATGATCTGTGGTCGTTTATACATTATATTCATAACACAATTTTTTTTTTATTAGGTATTAAAACTGTAAGTCTCCACAATATATTATTTTGAGAATATTTTTATTTGTATTATGGTATAAGTGGGTTGTCCCAAAGGAAATTTTGAAATTGGCAAAATTAGGACAACTCTAATGTATATCAATAATATATATTATTTATAAATAACTGAAAAAATAAATTAATATGAATAAGTTAATATTTTTACCTTACTGAGTTATAAAATCATTTATTATTGTTAAAATATGGATGCTAAAAACAAAACATATTGAAATGTTGTCAAAGATTACAGTAATAAGAAATATTATGTTTATTCAATGTTGTTTTAATTTATTATTCCAATATATGTATTTAATTATTATTATAAATATAAAACATAATTAATATTACTTACTGCAGAATAATTAGTATTATTGGATGATAAAAATTGTAATTTATCAGTTTTTGAAAGTAATGACCAACGTAATTTAAATAAATCTAATTCTCTGGATATAAACCATTTACGCAATTCATCATTTTTACAATAAATTAGTCTAAGAATAAAATGGGAACATACATCTCTTTTTCTTGCTAGACAATTTTCTTCATAGTCTTTATATTTTCCACCGTTGACCTGTATACAAAAAGGTATGCATATTCAATATTATATCATTACATATATATTGATTAAAAACTAAATGTTTGAAATTCAATTAAGATAACTTAATTGTTAAAAAAAATGATTTATAGTGGGAATCTATAAACTGTATATAACATACCAATTTATACATATGATTTAATCCTTCTTTCTTCAGTTCTTGAACTGCTAATTTAGTATATTCTTCATAATTATTTGTATTTCCTTTCAAACTTAATTGTTCTAATATTTGTAAAACTAAAAAATAATATAAAATTTACAAAAAAAAAAAAGCTGATATTGGGGCTGGGGCTGGGTGTAGCCACTGTTGTAGGTGGGAATTTAGATTGGATACATAATTATTTAATATATATCTGTACACATAAATGAACCATTGCTATCGAAAAACAATTGAAAGTTAAGTTAGGTAAGACATATTTTGAAATGTCATAATTTTCATGATTTTCATAAAAATTTGATCTTAAAAATGATTATGGAAAAAAAAAAACTAAGGCATTAAATTCAAATTTGTTTTTTAAATTACTAAATGCAACTTATTAAGAACCTTGTGTTAAATTTTTAAGTATTTCTTCAAGTCATATAATTTTAATAACACATACCTACCAAATAAAAACACGAAAATATCAAATACCTAAAATCAATCTAAAATTAGTTAGAATGGTATGAAAATTTGACCATGTTTAGAAAAGGCCAATATGAGTATTTTGTAGAAAATACAAGTATCTATATTAATTTATGACCAAATAAAAACAATAAAAACAGGAAAATATATGGAAAATCAAACGACTTTCTTGTTTACAAATCATACAAAATTTTCTTTCAGAAAATATGCTATTCTTGAAATTTGGACTAAAATTTTTAATAATGAAATTGTTATGCTGTAATTTGAAAAATTATATATTCTTCTTTTTTGGGTTTTCCCAATTATTATGAAAATTACTTTCTTTGTCTGTGTTTTGATAATAAATGGAGACAAATCAAAAACATGAAAACTGTAACGCTGCAGTGCTGTAAATATTTGCATTTACCTATAATTTTCTTTCAGGTTTTTCATAATTATTTTGAAAACTCCTGGGAAAATCAAGACCATTCTAATTTTACCAACTAGACAAAAATTTCTTTCAGAAAAGGTACTACACTCTATACATCAAAGAAAAATGTCTTTTTAAAAAATTGTTTAGATATAAAAAAAAAATTTTAAAAAATCGACATTATAGTAAAACAAATAAATCCCTCCTTACGTTCCAAATCTAAAACTGGGCGGTATTTTTAATTCTTTGAATAATATAATATTACCTAATTTGTATTTTCTTACCTTTTAGTCTTTCAATAGCCCATTCTTCAAACTCATCCAAATTGACATCAATATCAGGGATTTCACGATAAAGTTGTAAGTCATGAATGTATAAGGATTTCTCAGATTTATCTGTAGGTAAAGATTTTCTACTTGGTGTAAAATTCATTTTAATTTATATACCTATTCATTAAAAAAAAAAAAAAAAAGAAATAAATCATATAAATTTATCAATGATTTTTAAACAATATACTATACAACATAAATAATCTATAAACTATAAACTGAGTTTTTAAAGTTTTGATTACAACTATTGATGGCACTATGCAAAATGCAGATTTAAAAAAAAAAACGAGAAAAAGATGCAATTTTACGGTTATAATTTATAAAAAACCAAGATACTTACGAAACTGATTCGAATAGGATTTAATGTTGCTTTTGATGCCGAACTATAAGAAAAATCAGAACTTCTATAAATATTAACAAATACTGAAAATCATATCATGATATGAAGCAAATAGTGTAGAAACACGTATGAACAATTTGGTATTATGAATTATGATGCATAACATATAGCACTTTTGTTCATGAATATTGTTTATTAAATAATAAACAATGAAAATGGCGCGAACATGGAATGGAATAGGTTCCATTATCAATTTTTGATAAAAAAAAAAAAAGCAACACAGTGATTCTCAAAACCAGATAATGGGGAAATACTTCACTAAAAGTGATTTCTATAATATATGTGCATAGACTATTGCACCTAGAGCAGGTCATAATAGAGCACGAATAATTGATCAGTTCAGTTGAATATTGAATCATGAATCTTGTGGAATATAATTTTTACAATTATCAATTATTTTCCCTCTGATAACGATTTATACCACGTTTTAGGTCTTTATAGTTAATTAAAAGTATTAAAAAACTATTAAACTATATTGTAATAGTAATATAGTATTTTATATAATATTATGAATTCAAATTATAAAAATGAATATATTATATGTGTATAGAACACTTGCCCTCCGTTCGGCTTTTCCCGTGCCAATTTTTTATTATTTTAGATTCGGAGTGGAGCGAAGAAGCTTGTGGTTTTAAAAAGATGTTTTTTTTTATTTATTCATCTGAGGGTAACTGTGAGAGGAAGTCGGCGTGGGGAGGTACTTTGAGGAGGTCATTTTTCGATTTACTCAAGAATTTTCTCATCAAATTTGAAAAACCGAAAGAAAACGGGAAAATGTACGAAATATATTACTAAAATATTACAATTTTATTTTTCCTGTGCACAACTTTTCTATCTGCAATTTTGCTCCAACTTTTAATGATAGCAATGTTTCTAAGAGGAAATTTCATTAGGAAGGTACTTTAGAGAGTTCATTTTTCGATTTTCTCAGCAAATGTGAAAAACTGAGAAAAAACATGGAAAAACCGGAGAAATCGGTAAAACATTCAACAAATATTATTAAAGAAAATATAATATATAGCTTATTTAATTATTTTATTATAATATGGCATATTATGTATTGTTGACAAAACATCACTATCAATTGAACTCCGATCAGAATCGTTTTTTCGTTAGCAATAGTTTATCGTTGCTAACTAAATTAATTGTAATTAAATTACCGTTTATATCCTACCTTCTCAATTTTCCACCTACATCAGTGGCTGCACTCGTCCCCATTATCTTTTTACCTTTTTTCTACTATTGTTTTGCCCGTATCAGTATATCGAATGGAAAAAAATAGGTTGGGTAATCCGGTGGACTAAAAGTGTTCTAGTGTGTCTTACATTTTTTCATCCATGTTACCATAGATACTCGTAAACTACAATATAACATATTATTAAATTATATTATAACCACTATAAAAAGCTAAAATTATGAGAACATAATAGTATATCCAAGTGTTATAATGTATCGAAAATTCATAGATTTAAAGACGTTTACGTGTTTTTACTTTTCACTTACCCGCCAGTACAGTACATAGTTTTGTGTTTTTTCTTCGTCTATGTTACCAAGCCCATCTTATTTCAAACCAATAATAGACCGTCAGACAGTCAAACAGACTCTTTATTTTAAGTTATCATAGTTGTTATGGAATTTTAGATTCTGAGTGGAACGGGAAATGTATTGGTTCTAAAATGATGTTTATTTTTTTATGTGAACATTAATTCTATCAGATAGCATACTCCGATTATTAAGTATAGTACCTTTTCTGAAAGGAAATTTTCTCTGGGTGGTACTTTAAAGAGGACATTTTCTGAAAGTCTCATTAATATTCAAGATAATGAGGAAAATCTCGGTCTTTGGGTTAAAAAAATTGAAAGATTAAAAATAAGGTTGTCATTGGCAATCGTTTTTATTTATTTTCTGTTATTGTTAAGTTTTTATTATTTTAATCTTTTTTAAACAATCATTGTTGTCACGGAATGCTGATCTATTACTATAAGCCAAACTTTTATTACGCGTCCTAGTTGTTGACGACTATTGTCTTTTTCTCTATGTCATAAGCCGCTGCGAGTATTCATCGCTAGATTATCGTTCGTATAGCTGTGATGATCTGGCATTTTGTTTTGTAAAATGAAGTGAACGTTGGCGCTACATTCCTTCGAGCGTGCTCATGAGTTTCTGTCTTTATTTCTAGCAAAGCGCTGAAAACGTTCGGCGCTGGAATCTCTAGCCTTCGAATGCGACGCGAACTCTCTAACTTACGAGGCGATCTGAATTTTCAAAAGATTCTCCAATTCAAAATATTTTTTTCAGGTAAAAATATTTATAAACCTAATTATTGTATTTTTCTTGAGGATCCTTATTTTTTTCTAGTAATAAATATAGCCTATGTTAATGTGGGGATAATGTAGCATTCTAATGGCGAAAGAATTTTTGAAATCGGTCCAGTAGTTTTTGAGTTTATTCGTTGCAAACATCCAAATCTTTCCTCTTTATAATATTATAATTATAGATATAGATAGGCACATCTTACATGATAACAGTTTAATATGAACTTGATTATGATACATTGCAATTTTACCTATTTACCATAGATAATAAAATGCCTCTACTCTTATATTATCCTATCTTTTCTTGAATATGCTCCTATAATCTGGGATAATAATTACATTGGTCACAATAACCAACTTAAAAAAATTTAAAAATAAAATAAAATGCTTCGCTTGCTACAAATGCTTCAAATGTAATATTGATAGAACTCTTCACACTGGTTATGAAAATATTCTAGGAATCTTAAAAATGGATTCTTTAAAAGCACGTAGAATTTCTTAAAATAACTCCTTTTTCTCTAAACTACTAAATTAATGATTCGTTCATACTAAGTCTGATAAATGTAAAAATACCTCGCCATAATACTTGAAATAATCAATTATTTTATAATTATTTGGTTTCCCAAAACTACATTTTAAACCACCCAATCAATATTTGAATGTCTTATGGTAACAATTTTGATAGATTTAATCTATTTAAATAAATTATGTTCCTAACATTTGTATAAACTTGTATTTTATTGTTTATGTCTGTAATCTGTACATTTATATATTAGATATGCATATGGTTATTGTACACATTAGTCTAGTTATTCTTATATACTGAAAAGTGTTAACTTTTGTTTAAGCTCATTAATGTTAAAATTTATACTTAATTCACAGTTGTCACTATTATAATATATACTTGAAATTGGACAATTTGTCTGTAAATAATAAATAAATGTAAAACTAGTAAGGCACTATCTTTTGATGATTATTAATTATTAAATAAAAATACTTGAGTGAGAACTGTGAACCCGAATATTTATTTATTGCATATCACGAACATATAAATTATTGTATTACTAAATGGTAAATAATAATTACTAATTACTATATTTTACTTCTGTAAGCTTTAGGTTACTTGAGCAATATTATATTTATTAATGCAGTTATACTATTTATCACCTAGAGAGCGTCGTATGCCGGTTTGAATCTAATATATGTTTTGAGCTTCGCATTATCACGGTTCGTTTCGCAATCAAATTTTCTATAGCCGTGGTAGGTTTATAGGTATAATCTATAAACCTTGGAACGTACAACTCGTAGAATAAGAATATAACAACTGTTAGTATTTATGTTTCAAGTTTGAAGTTTAGACATATTTATTAACGTTTTGTTCGTCTTTCAACTATACACAGTGGACGGTCAGTAAAACTTAAAATTATTGATTTAGATATTTTCAAAATTTAATTTTAATTAAGATTATGTATAGGATTTATTATTTATAATTATTGTGATTATGGTACTGCTACGTTTGATAGAAATGGAATAATGGGGTGTGCTACTCAGAAATAGGCTATCATTACACATACAGCCTATAATATAGGTATTTAAAAAAAATGTTTAGACACAGGTAATAAAATTAGATAGATACTGAATAAGATCCACTTTAAATGAAGTTAGATTAGTAACTTAATTATTATAATAAGTAACATTTTTCTTTCTGCATAAGAAAACTATAGGGAAAATCAAAATATGATCAATTCAAAATTCCAATAAGTATCAATCAATCTGTGATCAAACTAGATAAATATTTCCTCAAAAAAACAAACTTAAATTTAAATTACTCTATACTTTCTTTGTTTTATTTACTAATCGGAATTTAAAATAAAAAAATAAAAATACTATAATTTGTCTACTAAACTGAAGTATGATTTTGCATTAGATAACAAATTACAACACTATTCAGATCATGTGAATTGATAAGGAACACCATAAATTAATTAATTTAAAAATGTGGTAAATTTAGTATATGATGTTATAATTTATAAATTAGACATATATTATACTATAATTTTTTTTATTTATAATAAATTTACTATTTGAGAATTTATCTAAAACAACTTGGTTTTTTTTCTTTTTATAATACACCATTTGTTAATAAAATGGCATTACAGTAATGTTTGCTGTTTATCGTAATACTATCAATCAACATAACAAAGATGTGCAATAGTAGTAATAATATTCAGGATCGTATAGACTTAAAACAAAAATCAACAAAAAAAATTTTTTTTAAAATTAAAGATAATATTTACTATGTATATTTCACAGGACCATTTTTTGAGATATTTATTTCTCAGATTATCTATTTATATTTAAATTAATATTTTATTTAATTTAGTGAAGTAATTTTTGTTTTTGGTCTATTAGATCCCGAGTACTATTGAAATTTGGAAGAGCAAAGCAATTTTCGCTATACTCCCTCTTTTTGTTAACAACCTAAAAGGCTGGTTGGCAGTAATTTTCCACTCCTGACACTTCACCGCTTTCCTTTTTAGTTCACAATACGATCTGCAGTCCATATCTTTTACTATTTGATGAATGTAGTCCAGTGATGATCACTCTCTGCTATTATTCCCCTGAATGGCACCTTCTATTATTATACTAAGTAGACTGTTATGACGCAGCGTGTGACCAATTGAATTGATTCTTCTTGTTTTTAAGGTTTTCAGGAAGCTTGTTTCTCCAGCTTTTAGAGAAACATCATCATTTGCTATGTCTAGTTTTTTTTAAGCAGTCTCCTGTATTATCATGTCTCAAACAATAGTCATATTTTTTCAGTTTTATTTGCGGTCCATGTCTCATGTAAAACATGCTCTAAACATAAGCCTTTAGTAGGTTTTTCTTCACTTTTACATCAATGTTTCTAGACATAAATGTGTTTCTTACTTTGAAATGCACATTTTAAGGCTGTTTTCACCAACTTAATAAACGAAGTTAATCAGATTTTAAAACTCATTAGTCAAAGAAACGTTAGATAGCCGAAACGTTGAGTTTCACTGGGGGAATTTAACTATAAACCGAATTTGTAAGATAACCGACCATTTTTGCTTTGTTATCGGTTATAAACTCGTAATATTTAATTACGTAATTTCCGAAGTGTAGTTACATACTCGCATTGTATTTTTTGGACTTATTTTGTCATTATTTGAAGTATTCTGTTAACTGTTATGTTTTCTCGAGTCCAAGTGCATGCATTTGCACTAGTTTTAGAGGATGATTTTGAAGAAATTTTCATAATCCACCGTCCAAGATTTATCAGGGAGAGAACAAATGACTTTCATAAGCTTGATGAAAGAGATTTCGTTATTAGGTACAGATTGCCGAAGAAAAGATCATCTCGAGTATCGTAGTGACAAGTAATTACTAATTAGTAGTGAATAGTGAAAGGTTTATCATGAACTAGTGTGTATTTAGTTTAATTTTATATAATTTTGTAGAACCAACAAAACTGGACTATAAAGTAACTTAAAATTATTAATTAATTAAACTCGTCATCACATTATCAGTGATTATCAGTCTGCTATCTACTAAATAATTGTAGTTTAATAATATATAACCTAGGTATATCGAAAACCGTTTTTATTAAAAATTTAGTTATTGTGATGAAACGCAATCTTTCAATTACGATAACTGTAGTTTCCCGTAAACGGAGTTTATCGGTTTTTTGTAAGAACGTGCCTAGTTTATTTTACCATAGGACCATGGACACTAGAGAGTAGAGACACTTAAGTGTTTATAAATATGTATGTCATTTAGTGATGCAGTTTTGAGTAACCTGGTTACTAGTTTAGTGAACAAACTGTTTTGGCGACATGGTTTACTGTAATTGTTTGATAACCGAATGTACTTTTTAGCAACCCAGTTGACGGAATCAGCAAACAATTCAGAACTACGTTTACTGTTTTCGGTTACTAATAATCTACTGATAAGGACTATCATTCAACCATTCCATCTACTTTATGTAACAAAAAATATACAGTAAACAAAACGTTTTGGCGAGTAAAAAACAGTGCAGCAAACTGTTTACTGAAAATTGCATCGCCAAAACGTTTTATGTCTAACCGGTCTCCGCGATAAGCACGTAGCACAACAACCAGGACGCCATGGCCCGCGTCCCCACACTCATCTTGACTTATAATAGTATGATCACTGAAGATTGAATAACGAATAGTGAATGCAACGGCGCACGAGGTTCGAACGAGCCCGTTGTCGGGAGTCCGAACTCCTGATAACCCCTGATAATGTCACCGCTGTACTGTAGAGACGCACACATAATCGCCATTTTCACTATTGACTGACAAATACTTGACACAAACACACACACACACACACACACACGGAGTTCGCCGTTGATGTTGTTTCCGGATTTCTAAAAGTAAGTAAATTTTATTAATTAATGTCTACCTATCCTCAGAGTTTAACCACTTACCCATTGGTAATGGGTTACTATCTTTTTTCCTTCTCACGTTTACAAATTCAATTTTAATGATTCCTCTTTTTCTACTTTCCATACAAAAGTGTGTATTTGTGATTTATCCCATGTCTTCAACTGTCCCTCGTTATTTGCTGAACGCCATATTTTACGTGTCTTTCTTACCTCTTTAAATATTCCTTTTAATCTTCCTGTTATTCTGAGTTCTAATTCTGAATATATTATTAAAATAATTATCTTTTGTCTTAGTGGCTGGCTTCGTCATTTTCTTCTTTAATATTATTAATTTTTTCTTAAACTGTATCTGCTACTATTGTAAATTATAATTTATTGTCGGGCTGAATAGTTTTACAATGCTAAATTCCTGTGGTAATACTCACATGTCCACAAGCCGCCAGAATGGCATTATGTCATGCGTTGTCATAGGGGACCGAGGGAATCTTAACTACTTATTATTATTTATTATAAATTTAACCTTAGGTATAGAGTCAGTTGGGGTAAATGTGAATAATCTAATCTCAGGGAATTGTAAATAAATTAGTTAACTTTTGCGAAATAATTGAAACTGAGAATTTTTTCTGAATGTTGATAAATGGCCAAACTAATTTTGTTTGCCTGTGGTCAGTAGGCCCTTTCGATTGATCCGTATAAATATCCTGTATGTCTTTGCATACACATGGCCCTGATACATGTTTCTAGGGTGTATTCGCTCATGTCTCAGATGTTTAAAAGGCTTATAATCACTTGGCTTGCAATACTAAAACAATAAGTATTTGGATGTTTCATCAACAAAATATCTATAGCAAGATAAGAGTTATTTACGCCCACTAAAATGGTATACAGATTTTAATTTTACCTAAATGTTCTTTTTCAATATAACATATATTTGTATTATATAAGTAATAGTAAAACCATTATACAGGGGATTACTACAAATTTATAAGAGTTATAATGAATTTTAAAAATCAAATCAAATAAAAAATGCCTACATATACCTAGGTAAACTATGTTATATCATGGCTATATCTATACGATTATACTCAATAGCTGTGTTTAAGATAGTAAAATATAAAATGTAATTTGTATCAAATAAATAAATTTATTACTTTATTTTTCTGATAAGTAGGTAAAATAAATTAATATGATAACACAAAATATTTTCACTGAATTATGTTATCCAAGTCTTCTTTTTGTGAGCTTGGATAGTTATTAAAGTACCAATAAATTTGATCTCGATTTTAGTTATAACATTTCTCATTAAACCTATGTATTCATGTAAATACTTATAGTCTTGTTATAATTGTAAGAATATAATTTTTAAATTTTATTTATAATGTTTTGTTACCTAATTTATTTAATGAATTTAAAATAATTTACATTAATATGAATTAAAGTATTAATCCATTCAACAAGCAATTCTGTAACTTGATATGTAACCATTTTCATTGCTAGTAGAATTAAAATATAAAATACATTGATCTTACTGAAAAAAGGAAGTTTTACTTAGTTTTTTTTTCCTTATTATTGAAACAATATTACATTACATTATAATGTTATATCTACTTCCTTTAAGCGGAGTTTGTGTTAGAAGTAGAAAACTATTTAGCCATATTAACTATTAGGTAAATGTAATTATTGTGGATTAAATTTTTGGATACTACAATAGAAATGTTACTCAGGTTCTTAAATGATTCTTTACAATTATGATTAGATGATGATTAAATTAAAGGTTTTAATCTACACAGTATAAATCATTGGCTCATTATAAACTTTTGATGTCAAGATTTCTTTTTAATGTATACATCATAATGATAATATTTTGTGCCGTTATAAATTGTACATTGCCATATTAACTTTTAGGTAAATGTAATTATTCTGGATTAAATTTTTGGATACAACTATAGAAATGTTACTCAGGTTCTTAAATGATATACATTTTTATTGATCTATTTATAAAAATGTTCACATTATTAATAAACATACAAAGTATAATTGTATCTGGGACCTTTAGTGGTTTTTACAGTCACTACTGTGTTTATAAAATATATCATATCTCAATTTACCCAATTCATTATGTTATAAATATAAGAAAATGAAAGAGACAAAATATCCAGTTCCCAAAAGCTGGAAATAACCTTTCAATTTGAAGATTGTTTATGCAAGCTTCAATCAACCAATTGCATTGTGTGCTATTATGAACTGTCCAGTGTTTTCCTAGTAAATAATTTTATAATGATTTTTTATGAATTTTCTGTTTTTTTTTTTTTTGTATTTAAAGCTTTGAATCATTGTGTTATTTTCTTAACTTTGTCAACATATTTATATTTATTGAATCTACATAAGCATATTACAATTGATTTTTTCTAATCGGTTTTTTTTTTCAGATTTGGAATGTGTAAATTCCTTATTAATGCAGAAGCCATAATGAACTGTAACCCAAGAGCAGTTTAATGAAAGATATATTCCTGGAATTTTTTCATTATGGATTTTAATTTTATAATGATTTTTTATGAATTTACTGTTTTTTTTTTTTGTATTTAAAGCTTTGAATCATTGTGTTATTTTCCAAACTTTGTCAACTTATTTATATTTATTGAATCTACATATGCACATTACAATTGATTTTTTCTAATCGGTTGTTTTTTTTTTTCAGATCTCGAATGTGTAAATTCCTTATTAATGCAGAAGCCATAATGAACTGTAACCCAAGAGCAGTTTAATGAAATATATTCCTGGAATTTTTTCATTATGGATTTTGAATTGTCTCCTCTCAGAATATTAATCACATTCAGTTTTCTTCATTCCTCTTTATTCTGGTGAGTTTTTTTTATATTTAATTAAATAAGGGACTATATTTATTTTAATCATAGATAGTTTATAATATTTTGCTTGTAAAAATTTAATACAATGGATAATAAGTTATTTTAAGCATAATTATTTTATGGTTCACTTACAAAAAATGATTAGCTTACCAGATGTCTTTATATTGGATGTTTAAAAAATACATATCAATATTTAGATAGATGTAGTATTAGAATTTTTTATATTCCACCCATTTTTTTTTATTTAAGACTATAATATTGGAACAATTATGATTAGATGATGATTAAATTAAAGGTTTTAATCTACACAGTATAAATCATTGGCTCATTATAAACTTTTGATGTCAAGATTTCTTTTTAACCTATACATCATAATGATAATATTTTGTTTATGATTAGATGATGATTAAATCGGTTGTTTTTTTTTTCAGATTTTGAATGTGTAAATTCCTTTTTATGTAATGTATCCTTATATAATGTAATGACTATATGACAATGGAAGAAACAACATGTCCTCTGTTTTGAAAAGAACAACATGTGTACAATAAAAATAATTGATCTACAAATTGAAGGGTTATCTCTGGCGGGTATAAATAAAATGCTGGAAATAACCTGTCAATTTGAGGATTTTTTATGCAATCTTCTATCAACTAATTGCACTTTATGCAATTATAGACTGTCTACAGCTCTCTAAGTAATTTATTATTTGATAATTTTTTATCAAGTTGACTGTTTATTTTTCCTAAAACCTTAAAATCATACTGTAAATTTCTAAACATTGTCAAACTATTATTATTTGTTTAATTTACATGTGCTCCTTATATTAGATTTATTCTAATTTTGTTTTTTTTTTCAGCTTATGAATATGTCAATATATTAAAAGTGTACGAGCTAAAACAAATTGTGATCTACAAGCAGTTCAATGTAAACTACTTCGCAACAAGTCAACCTAGTGCATTTATAATCATCTTATTTTGGAATTTTCATCATGTTCAATTTTCTGAATTCTGTTTCGTCCTGGTGAGTATATATTATACTTTTTCTTTATAATAGACTTTATCATTTTCGATCAATAATGGCTTATAATATTTTGCTTGTTTAAATTGAACAAATTTAAAATTATGTGTTGTTTTAGCATTTAATCAGGGTTCACATACATTTATTGATAAGCTATCAATATGTCTGTTTATTGTATTTGAATAAATTAAATATCGAATTTAAGTTAGATATAGTGTTAGGAATTTTTCTTAATCGACCCCTTGTTGTATTTAGTACTATGATATTTGAACATTATAGAATGAAAGATGTTAGAATTGAAGGGTTATATCGAGCCAGTATATTTCATTAGGCTCGTTATAACCTTTCGATTTCAGGATCTCATTTTAATGCTACCAACACTGNAATATCAGGGTTCACATACATTTAATGATAAGCTATCAATATGTCTGTTTATTGTATTTGAATAAATTAAATATCGAATTTAAGTTAGTTATAGTGTTAGGAATTTGTCTTAATCGACCCCTTTGTTGTATTTAGTACTATGATATTTGAAAATTATAGAATGAAAGATGTTAGAAGTGAAGGGTTATATCGAGCCAGTATATTTCATTAGGCTCGTTATAACCTTTCGATTTCAGGATCTCATTTTAATGCATCCAACACTCAAATGATAAATTGTACCATTATTAATTGTACAAATCCATATTGACATTAAGGTAAATGTTTATCACTGTAAATTGAATGTTTGACTAATACCATAGAAATGTTACCTAGATTCATAAATGTTGTCAATTTCAATCAGTCTTTATATTATAATATTCACTAGGTTTATGAATTTAAGCAGTATCTTTCAATCTCGGTCTATTACTGTATTTTTGTAACCACTACTGTGGGTATACATTAAATCATATCACAATTTATCCAATTTATAATGTAATGACTATATGATAATGGAAGAAACAACATGTCCTCTGTTTTGAAAAGAACAACATGTGTACAATTAAAATAATTGATCTACAAATTGAAGGGTTATCTCTGGCGGGTATAAATAAAATGCTGGAAATAACCTGTCAATTTGAGGATTTTTTATGCAATCTTCTATCAACTAATTGCACTTTATGCAATTATAGACTGTCTACAGCTCTCTAAGTAATTTATTATTTGATAATTTTTTATCAAGTTGACTGTTTATTTTTCCTAAAACCTTAAAATCATACTGTAAATTTCTAAACATTGTCAAACTATTATTATTTGTTTAATTTACATGTGCTCCTTATATTATATTTATTCTGATTTTGTTTTTTTTTTTAGATTTTGAATATGTCAATTCATTAAAAGTGTAGGAGCTAAAACAAATTGTGATCTACAAGCAGTTCAATGAAAACTACATCCCAACAAGTCAACCTAGTGCATTTATAATCATCTTATTTTGGAATTTTCATCATGTTCAATTTTCTGAATTCTGTTTCGTCCTGGTGAGTATATATTATACTTTTTCTATATAATAGACTTTATCATTTTTGATCAATAATAGCTTTTAATAATTTGCTTGTTTTAATTGAACAAATTCAACCTAGTGCATTTATAATCATCTTATTTTGGAATTTTCATCATGTTCAATTTTCTGAATTCTGTTTCGTCCTGGTGAGTATATATAATACTTTTTCTTTAAAATAGACTTTATCATTTTTGATCAATAATAGCTTTTAATAATTTGCTTGTTTAAATTGAACAAATTGAAAATTATGTGTTGTTTTAGCATTTTAATATCAGGGTTCACATACATTTAATGATAAGCTATCAATATGTCTGTTTATTGTATTTGAATAAATTAAGTATCGAATTATAGTTAGATATAGTNTATTTAACTTTTTCTTTATAATAGACTTTATCATTTTCGATCAATAATGGCTTATAAAAATTTGCTTGTTTAAATTGAACAAATTGAAAATTATGTGTTGTTTTAGCATTTTAATATCAGGGTTCACATACATTTAATGATAAGCTATCAATATGTCTGTTTATTGTATTTGAATAAATTAAATATCCAATTTAAGTTAGATATAGTGTTAGGAATTTGTCTTAATCGACCCCTTTGTTGTATTTAGTACTATGATATTTGAACATTATAGAATGAAAGATGTTAGAATTGAAGGGTTATATCGAGCCAGTATATTTCATTAGGCTCGTTATAACCTTTCGATTTCAGGATCTCATTTTAATGCATCCAACACTCAAATGATAATTTGTACCATTATTAATTGTACATAGCCATATTGACATTAAGGTAAATGTTTATCTCTGTAAATTGTTTGTTTGACTACTACCATAGAAATGTTACCTAGGTTCATAAATGTTGTTAATTTCAATCAGTCTTTATATTAAAATATTCACCATGTTTATGAATATAAGGAGTATCATTCAATCTCGGTCTATTACTGTTTTATTATTAATTGTACATAGCCATATTGACATTAAGGTAAATGTTTATCACTGTAAATTGAATGTTTGACTAATACCATAGAAATGTTACCTAGATTCATAAATGTTGTCAATTTCAATCAGTCTTTAAATTATAATATTCACCATGATTATGAATATAAGTAATATCTTTCAATTTCGGTCTATTACTGTATTTTTGTAACCACTACTGTGGGTATACATTAAATCATATCACAATAATAGGTTAAATATTACAATACTGATATACTATTACCTTCTTTGTTCATGTCCTCTGTTTTGAAAAGAACAACATGTGTACAATTAAAATAATTGATCTACAAATTGAAGGGTTATCTCTGGCGGGTGTAAATAAAATGCTGGAAATAACCTGTCAATTTGAGGATTTTTTATGCAATCTTCTATCAACTAATTGCACTTTATGCAATTATAGACCGTCTTCAGCTCTCTAAGTAATTTATTTTTTGATAGTTTTTTATCAAGTTGACTGTATATTTTTTCTAAAAGTGTAAAATCATACTGTAAATTTCTAAACATTGTCAAACTATTATTATTTGTTTAATTTACATGTGCCCCTTATATTAGATTTATTCTAATTTTGTTTTATCTTTCAGATTTTGAATATGTCAATTCATTAAGTGTGTACGAGCTAAAACAAATTGTGATCTACAATCAGTTCAATGAAAACTACTTCGCAACAAGTCAACCTAGTGCATTTTGAATCATCTCATTTTGGAATTTTCATCATGTTCAATTTTCTGAATTCTGTTTCATCCTGGTGAGTATATATTATACTTTTTCTTTATAATAGACTTTATCGTTTTGGATCAATAATGGCTTATAATAATTTTGTTTTTGAAATTGAACAAATTGAAAATTATGTGTTGTTTTAGCATTTTAATATCAGGGTTCACTTACATTTAATGATAAGCTATCAATATGTCTGTTTATTGTATTTTAATAAATTAAATATCCAATTAAATTTAGATATAGTGTTAGGAATTTTTATAATCGAACCCTTTGTTGTATTTAGGACTATGATATTTGAACATTATAGAATGAAAGATGTTAGAATTGAAGGGTTATATCGAGCCAGTATATTTCATTAGACTCGTTATAACCTTTCCATTTCAGGATCTCATTTTAATGCATCGGACACTCAAATGATAATTTGTACCATTATTAATTGTACATAGCCATATTGACATTAAGGTAAATGTTTATCACTGTAAATTGAATGTTTGACTACTACCATAGAAATGTTACCTAGGTTCATAAATGTTGTCAATGTCAATCAGTCTTTAAATTATAATATTCACCATGATTATGAATATAAGTAATATCTTTCAATCTCGGTCTATTACTGTTTTTTTGTAACCACTACTGTGAGTATACATTAAATCATATCACAATTTATCCAATTTATAATGTTATGACTATATGATAATGGAAGAAACAACATGTCCTCTGTTTTGAAAAGAACAACATGTGTACAATTAAAATAATTGATCTACAAATTGAAGGGTTATCTCTGGCGGGTGTAAATAAAATGCTGGAAATAACCTGTCAATTTGAGGATTTTTTATGCAATCTTCTATCAACTAATTGCACTTTATGCAATTATAGACCGTCTACAGCTCTCTAAGTAATTTATTTTTTGATAGTTTTTTATCAAGTTGACTGTATATTTTTTCTAAAAGCGTAAAATCATACTGTAAATTTCTAAACATTGTCAAACTATTATTATTTGTTTAATTTACATGTGCCCCTTATATTAGATTTATTCTAATTTTGTTTTATCTTTCAGATTTTGAATATGTCAATTCATTAAGTGTGTACGAGCTAAAACAAATTGTGATCTACAATCAGTTCAATGAAAACTACTTCGCAACAAGTCAACCTAGTGCATTTTGAATCATCTCATTTTGGAATTTTCATCATGTTCAATTTTCTGAATTCTGTTTCATCCTGGTGAGTATATATTATACTTTTTCTTTATAATAGACTTTATCGTTTTGGATCAATAATGGCTTATAATAATTTTGTTTTTGAAATTGAACAAATTGAAAATTATGTGTTGTTTTAGCATTTTAATATCAGGGTTCACTTACATTTAATGATAAGCTATCAATATGTCTGTTTATTGTATTTTAATAAATTAAATATCCAATTAAATTTAGATATAGTGTTAGGAATTTTTATAATCGAACCCTTTGNGATATTACTTATATTCACCATGATTATGAATATAAGTAATATCTTTCAATCTCGGTCTATTACTGTTTTTTTGTAACCACTACTGTGAGTATACATTAAATCATATCACAATTTATCCAATTTATAATGTTATGACTATATGATAATGGAAGAAACAACATGTCCTCTGTTTTGAAAAGAACAACATGTGTACAATTAAAATAATTGATCTACAAATTGAAGGGTTATCTCTGGCGGGTGTAAATAAAATGCTGGAAATAACCTGTCAATTTGAGGATTTTTTATGCAATCTTCTATCAACTAATTGCACTTTATGCAATTATAGACCGTCTACAGCTCTCTAAGTAATTTATTTTTTGATAGTTTTTTATCAAGTTGACTGTATATTTTTTCTAAAAGCGTAAAATCATACTGTAAATTTCTAAACATTGTCAAACTATTATTATTTGTTTAATTTACATGTGCCCCTTATATTAGATTTATTCTAATTTTGTTTTTTCTTTCAGATTTTGAATATGTCAATTCATTAAGTGTGTACGAGCTAAAACAAATTGTGATCTACAATCAGTTCAATGAAAACTACTTCGCAACAGGTCAACCTAGGGCATTTTGAATCATCTCATTTTAGAATTTTCATCATGTTCAATTTTCAGAATTCTGTTTCATCCTGGTGAGTATATATTATACTTTTTCTTTATAATAGACTTTATCGTTTTGGATCAATAATGGCTTATAATAATTTTGTTTTTGAAATTGAACAAATTGAAAATTATGCGTTGTTTTAGCATTTTAATATCAGGGTTCACATACATTTAATGATAAGCTATCAATATGTCTGTTTATTGTATTTTAATAAATTAAGTATCGAATTATAGTTAGATATAGTGTTTGGAATTTGTATAATCTACCCCTTTGTTTTATTTAGGACTATGATATTTGAACATTATAGAATGAAAGATGTTAGAATTGAAGTATTATATCGAGCCAGTATATTTCATTAGGCTCGTTATAACCTTTCGATTTCAGGATCTCATTTAAATGCATCCATCACTCAAATAATAATTTGTACCATTCTTAATTGTACATAGCCATATTGACATTAAAGTAAATGTTTATCACTGTAAATTGAATGTTTGACTACTACAATAGAAATGTTACCTAGGTCCATAAATGTCTTTAATATTTACTAGCTTTATGAATTTAAAGATTTTCTTTCAATCTCAATCTATAACTGTTGTTTTGTAACCACTAATCCAGGTATGCATTAAATTATATCACAATTTACGCAATTTATAATGTAATGACTATATAATAATGGAAGCAACAACACATCCTCTGTTTTGAATAGAACAACATGTGTACAATTAAAATAATTGATCTTCAAATTGAAGGGTTATCTCTGGCGGGTGTAAATAAAATGCTGGAAATAACCTGTCAATTTGAGGATTTTTTATGCAATCTTCTATCAACTAATTGCACTTTATGCAATTATAGACCGTCTACAGCTCTCTAAGTAATTTATTTTTTGATAGTTTTTTATCAAGTTGACTGTATATTTTTCTAAAAGGGTAAAATCATACTGTAAATTTCTAAACATTGTCAAACTATTATTATTTGTTTAATTTACATGTGCCCCTTATATTAGATTTATTCTAATTTTGTTTTTTCTTTCAGATTTTGAATATGTCAATTCATTAAGTGTGTACGAGCTAAAACAAATTGTGATCTACAATCAGTTCAATGAAAACTACTTCGCAACAAGTCAACCTAGTGCATTTTGAATCATCTCATTTTGGAATTTTCATCATGTTCAATTTTCTGAATTCTGTTTCATCCTGGTGAGTATATATTATACTTTTTCTTTATAATAGACTTTATCGTTTTGGATCAATAATGGCTTATAATAATTTTGTTTTTGAAATTGAACAAATTGAAAATTATGTGTTGTTTTAGCATTTTAATATCAGGGTTCACATACATTTAATGATAAGCTATCAATATGTCTGTTTATTGTATTTTAATAAATTAAATATCCAANTTATCACTGTAAATTGAATGTTTGACTACTACCATAGAAATGTTACCTAGGTTCATAAATGTTGTCAATGTCAATCAGTCTTTAAATTATAATATTCACCATGATTATGAATATAAGTAATATCTTTCAATCTCGGTCTATTACTGTTTTTTTGTAACCACTACTGTGAGTATACATTAAATCATATCACAATTTATCCAATTTATAATGTTATGACTATATGATAATGGAAGAAACAACATATCCTCTGTTTTGAAAAGAACAACATGTGTACAATTAAAATAATTGATCTTCAAATTAAAGGGTTATCTCTGTAGTGTATAATTCATATGCAGGAAATAATCTGTCAATTTGAAGATTTTGTATGCAAATTTCTATCAACTAATTGCTCTTTATGCAATTAAAGATCGTCTACAGCTCTCTAAGTAATTTATTTTTTGATAGTTTTTTATCAAGTTGACTGTATATTTTTTCTAAAAGCGTAAAATCATACTGTAAATTTCTAAACATTGTCAAACTATTATTATTTGTTTAATTTACATGTGCCCCTTATATTAGATTTATTCTAATTTTGTTTTATCTTTCAGATTTTGAATATGTCAATTCATTAAGTGTGTACGAGCTAAAACAAATTGTGATCTACAATCAGTTCAATGAAAACTACTTCGAAACAAGTCAACCTAGTGCATTTTAAATCATCTCATTTTGGAATTTTCATCATGTTCAATTTTCAGAATTCTGTTTCATCCTGGTGAGTATATATTATACTTTTTCTTTATAATAGACTTTATCGTTTTGGATCAATAATATCTTATAATAATTTTGTTTTTGAAATTGAACAAATTGAAAATTATGTGTTGTTTTAGCATTTTAATATCAGGGTTCACTTTTATTTAATGATAAGCTATCAATATGTCTGTTTATTGTATTTTAATAAATTAAATATCCAATTAAATTTAGATATAGTGTTAGGAATTTTTATAATCGACCCCTTTGTTGTATTTAGGACTATGATATTTGAACATTATAGAATGAAAGATGTTAGAATTGAAGGGTTATATCGAGCCAGTATATTTCATTAGACTCGTTATAACCTTTCCATTTCAGGATCTCATTTTAATGCATCGGACACTCAAATGATAATTTGTACCATTATTAATTGTACATAGCCATATTGACATTAAGGTAAATGTTTATCACTGTAAATTGAATGTTTGACTACTACCATAGAAATGTTACCTAGGTTCATAAATGTTGTCAATGTCAATCAGTCTTTAAATTATAATATTCACCATGATTATAAATATAAGTAATATCTTTCAATTACGGTCTATTACTGTTTTTTTGTAACCACTACTGTGAGTATACATTAAATCATATCACAATTTATCCAATTTATAATGTTATGACTATATGATAATGGAAGAAACAACATGTCCTCTGTTTTGAAAAGAACAACATGTGTACAATTAAAATAATTGATCTACAAATTGAAGGGTTATCTCTGGCGGGTGTAAATAAAATGCTGGAAATAACCTGTCAATTTGAGGATTTTTTATGCAACCTTCTATCAACTAATTGCACTTTATGCAATTATAGACCGTCTACAGCTCCCTAAGT